ACGCCGCGGAGCAGGCCGCGGACGCGGACCGGCGCGCCGCGGAGGTCGAGCACGCGCGCCGCAACTTGGAAAAGGCGGAGCAGGAGCGCGTCATGGCCGCCGTCCGCGCGGACCGCTGCGCCGCCAACGCCATGGCGCACGCCCGGCGCGCCGCGGGCGACGCGCGGGCCGCCGCCGACGGCGCCAAGGACGCCGTGCGGGCCGCGGCGCGCGCGGCGCTCGGCCGCTTCGCCGAACGATGCCGGGCGCGGGAGGCGGGCCGCGCGGCGCTCGACGACCGGCGGCGCGCCAACGCCGGAGCCTTCCTCGGCCGCGCGCTCGTCGCCGCGGCGGCGCGGCGCGCGGCCGCCGCCGAGGGCCGCCGCGCGCGCGCGCTCGAGCTCGCGGCGCGCCGCGCGGCGGCGACGACGGTCCAGACCGCGCGCCGCGCCCGCGCCGCGCGGCGGCGCGTCGCGCGCGCCTTTACGGAGCGCGCCGCGGCGACGGCTCTCCAGGCCGCCGCCCGCCGGGGCGCCGCGACGCGCGTCGCGGCCTCCGCGGCCGCGGCGCGCCGCGCCGCGGAGCGCCGCGCCGCGGCCGTCCGGGCGCTCCAGGGCCTCGCGCGGCGCGCGCTCGACCGGGCCGAGGCGTCGCGCCGGAGGGTCGCCAAGGCCGAGGCCGACGCGGCGCGGGCCAAGGCCGCGCGGCTCGCGGCCTACGCCGAGGCCAGGGCCGAGAAGGAGGCGCGGCGGCGCGCGGAGGAGGCCCGGCGCGCCGCCGAACTGCGGCGGCGCGCCGACGCCGCGGCGTCCATCCAGCGCGTCGCGCGGGGCCGCCAGCTGCGCGTCTGGCTCGCCTACGAGGCGGAGCAGCGCGCGTGGGCCGACGCCGAGGCCGCGCGGGCGAACGACGACGCGTGGCGCGACTGGGCCGCGGCGACGCTCCAGGGCTGGTACCGGGCCCTCGTCGAGAGACAGGGCGCGGCGAACGAGGCGGCCTGGCGCGAGTGGGCCGCGTCCGTCGTCCAGGCCTGGTACCGCGAGCGTCTGGCGATCCACAACGTCGAGCTCTCGAACGCCATGTTCATGCGGCGCCGCGCGGCGGAGGCGGCCGAGGCCGAGGCGCAGAAAGTCGCGGACGAGGCGGCGCGCGTGGCGGACGTGGAGGCGAAAGCGGCGGCGGCGCGGGAGCACCTGGAGAAGCAGCGCGAGTCCGCGCGCGACGCCGAGGACGACTTCTACGGAGGCGACGACGGCGAGCCCGACGAGGACATCGACGACTTCGACGTCGACGACGAGGACGACGTGGCCATGCTCTTCACCTTCGTGCGCCACGGCCGGCGGGACAAGCTGAAGAAGTTCTGCGCGCGGGGCTTCGACGTCGACCTCCGGAACGCGCACGGCCACACGCTCGCCATGGTCGCGGCCCAGAACAACCAGAAGGCCATCCTCAAGGTGCTCTACAAGTTCGGCGTCAACATCAACGAGCAGGACTACAAGGGCAACACCGCGCTCCACTACGCAAACATGTATGGGTACACAAGGCTCGCGGAGTACATGGTCGAGAAGCTCGAGGCCGACGAGACCGTCGTCAACCGCCAGGGGAGCTCATGCTGGCTCACCGTCGACGACCAATAGCGCCGCCGCGGCTTCGGGCCGCGGTTTTAACTTTATCTCACATCGCCGTCGACGGGCGCCGCGTCCGCTGTTTCGAGACCCTACTGGCTCACGGTAGACGACCAATAGCGCCGCCGCGGCTTCGGGCCGCGGTTTTAACTTTATCTCACATCGCCGTCGACGGGCGCCGCGTCCGCTGCTTCGCGACGCCGCGCTTGCAGCGCAGGCGCGGGACGGCGCTGTCGTCGTCTCGGTAGTAGAGCTCGACCATGAACGGCAGCGTGTTCGCCGCCCAGTGGCGCAGGCTCGAGATCGCGAGGTCGAACGACAGCGTGGCCTCCACCTCCGAGAGCCGCATCGACGCCTCCGTGGACGTCGCCGGGTGGTAGGCCTTGACCTCGAAGCCGCCCGAGCGCCGCGCGTGGACCGTGACGAGCCACTGGTCCTTGAGCGTCGCCGGCGCGCCGGCGCGGTCGTGCCAGAGGTCGCCGCGGAGCACGGAGCGGACGACGTCGCCGCTCTGCGCGCGGAGCGGCCGCGGCAGGGGCGTGCGGCGCTTCGCCCGCGCCTTCCGGTCCGACGACGGCAGGGCGAAGCCCAGGGCCCGCGCGCGCGCGACGTCCGGCTCGAAGGTCCGCCGCGGCGCCGCGGGCGTCGCCGCGGCGGGCTTGGGCCGCCGCGCCGTCGACTGGCTCTTGCCCGGCGCCGACACGGGCCGGAGCCGCCGCTGCCGCGCGAGGGCGCGCCGCGCCGTCGCCACGCCGTCCTTCTCGTCCTCGAGGCGCTGCACCTGGGCCTTGGCCATCTCGAACCAGGACTCAAAGTCCATGGCCTTGGTGCGGCGCGTCGCCGACCGGAACGGGTCCTCGGCGGGGCAGGTGGACTCCAAGACCGAGCGCTGCGGCGTCGACGACGGCGCCTCGAGGGGCTGGTAGCGCATGGTGTCAAACTAGAATGCCGCCATCTCAGCGCTGATTTACGAGTCCATGTTTACTCTCTAGAGAGTCGATGCTGCCGAATTGCAGAGAGCTCGGCGTGATCGAGAGCCGGTGGTGGGCTGCCCCGCGGCGCCGCCGCAGCGCCATGGCCGAGATGGCGCGCGTGCAGGACGCGACCATCTTCGCCGTGAACAAGGACGAGGAGACGGCGCTGCACGTCGCGGCGCGCGCCGGCAGCGCCGAGGGCGTGCGCCTGCTGCTGGCGCACGGCGCCGTCGCCGACGCCCGCGACGGCCGGGGCCGCACGGCGCTGCACCTCGCGGCGAGCCGCGGCCTCGCCTGCGTGGCCGCGCTGATCGCCGCCGGCGCGCGCGTCGACGCCGCGGACGCCGGCGGCGGCACGCCGCTCCACGCCGCGAGCCTCGCGGGCGACGTCGCGACGACGCGCGCGCTCCTCGACGCGGGCGCGCGCAACGCGCCGGACGCGCGCGGCGACACGGCGCTCCACGTCGCGGCGACGCACGGCCACCTCGACTGCATGCGGTGCCTCGTGCTCGCGGGCCGCGACGGCGGCGCCGCGCCGCGCGGCGCCGGCGCCGCCGCGGAGACGCCGCGGACCGCGACCGCGGCGCGCGCCGCGGGCCTCCCGGACGCCGCGCCGCCGCCCGGGCCGCCGCGCGTCGACGCGTCGCAGTGGACGCGCTACGTCCACGAGTCCGGCGACCCCTACTGGTACAACGCGACGACGGACGAGAGCCAGTGGCACGCGCCGGGCGAGGACCCGCCGCCCGACGACTACGCCTACGACGCCGGCGCCTACGCCCGCGACGGCGCCGACGCCGCCGCGCCGGCGGCGGACGTGAGCGCGCTCATCAGCGACGACAGCGACGACGGCGGCGACGGCGCGGACGAGGAGCTGCCGCCCTGGGCCCGCGACGAGCCCCGCGCCGGCGGCCCGCGCTTCGCCGCGGCGCCGCGGGGCGGGGACCCGCGCTTCGACGCGGCGCCGCAGAACGGGCGCTTCGAGAAGCCCCGGGCGGCGGCGCAGAACGGGCGCGCCGAGGAACCGAGGGCGGCGGCGCAGAACGGGCGCGCCGAGGAGCCCCGGGCGGCGGCGCAGAACGGGCGCGCCGAGGAGCCCCGGGCGGCGGCGCAGAACGGGCGCGCCGAGGAGCCCCGGGCGGCGGACGCTCGC